CGCATCCCGACGGGATTCATCCTCTGGAGCCACGGCAGAGGGTCTTCTCCCAGAGGGCAGATGCAGGAGAGGGAAGGCTTCGGGGCAGCGTTTAGTCTGTTCGTCAGGAGAAGCTGCTCACCCTACGCCCGCCTGTTTTAAGTGTCTGGGGGTCGTAGGGAACACGGGCAGTTTCCTTTAACCACGCTCCTGGGGACGGAAAGATGGGGGAGCTCTGCGCCCCGAGCTGGCTCCCGTACCGCCGCTGCCGTCTAATTATAGAGGAGTCAGCTGCCGGCAAACTGATCCATCCTAAATCCAGGCTTAGCGTGAGCTGCGCTTACCCTGCCAACTCCCCTCCCTGTTTCAATATGGGGTGAATCCTGCACCGGAGCAATTCCCTTGCTGCCTTCCTGGGTGGCTGCGGGAGCTCCTCTTTCCCTGCCCGCCTCTGCCATGCCCGGGTGGTCTCTGTTGCTCTATGAACACGCACGTCACGGTCTGAAAAAGCCAGAAAACCTCTGATCTCAGCCCAAGGCCACGGCCAGTCGGCACCCAGGGTGCTCATGGCACTCCCCTGCACTTCCCGCCAGCAGAATTTGCCTCCCCCTGGTCCTGGCTGTCCCAGCCCATCCTGCACTCGCTGCTTGCACTGACATTTTCTGCCGGTGCCGTGGCCAGGAGGTGGGGACGGGCCTGATCCTGCCCGCAGGGGACAAGCAGGAGCTGTTTCTTCCTCCAAGCCCTGTCCTGGCTCGCTGGGGATGGGGGATGTGGGGAGAGACGTGGCGTTTGTGGCACGGGTCAGGAGGGTTTAGCGGAAACTGGAGGCTCATTCTCGGATACCTTTTGCAGAAGCAGCGTGGTGGTGTCATGGTTTGAGCCCAGAGGGCAACCGAGCACCGGGCAGCTGCTCCCTCCCCGCTTCCCCCCCCCGGTGCTGGGAAGGAGAAGCAAAAGGCCCAGGAGCTTGAGATAAGGACAGAGAGGGATGATCTCACCCTTTAAGGCACAGGCAAAAGACAGACTCGTTAGGGGAAGGAAAGAGGAACATACATTTAATACAGGCACTGACAACAACGCCGTGTAACAGAAGAGTAGGGCCGTGAGCAGCATCACCACATCCTGAGAACACCTCCCCCTGCCCTTCCCCTCTTCCCGGGCCCAGCTTTGCTCCCCAGATCTCCACCCGCCCCCCCCCCGCAGCGCAGGTGGCAGGGGATGGGGGGCACTGGGCCCTCGGGGAGGGGGAAGGTCTGGCACTCCTGCCCTGCTCCAGCGCCGTCCCCCTCTCGCAGGAGAGCTTCCTCCACAAACCAGCTCCACCACGAGTCCCTCCCGCAGCCGGGGCAGCTTCGAGAAGCTTCTCACGGGGGGTCACTGCTGTAGCCCCCTCCCCTGCTACCAAAACCCTCCTCTGCTCACTCCAGCCAGGACAGCAGCATTCTAATCGTGGGAAGAAAGATCTTTACAAAAAAAATAGGGGCAGTGCTCCTCCTTGTCGCTCTTGAGGCTGCTCTGGGGGAGCCCTCTGTCACCTGAGGGTGTGGTTCCACCCCAAATTCCTAGTGTGGCCCTCGGGGGACCCTGACACGTCGCTCGGGCTGGACTCTGCTGCCTCAGCCAGCCCGAAGCTGCCCCGAAGCCACCAGACTGTGGGCTCCTGGAAAATCACGCCGGATTTCCCTCTCCCCTTGTATTTTAAGGCGGTGGGGACACGGGCATCGCCTCTCGAGTGTGTGTCTGTCATAACTGGTCCTTTTGGGGACTGTTTTCTCTCTCTCTCTCCTTCCAGGGACACGCGATGGTGGTGGAGCTTTACCCTCAGTAGCAGGCCGAGGGCGGCCGAGGGGCTCTCCGTGCATCCTGGGCCCGGCAGTGCCGTTTCACTGTGTTTATAGAGACGTACAGACAATCCTTCTCAGAAAGGAGTTTTGGTGGCCTTTGCAAATCCCTTTTATCTATTCAGCTGGTAATTTTTAACCAAGAAATACTCTGCTTTCAGGAGAGTAAAAAATAGGGCTCTTACTCTATCCAGAGTCCTTGTAACCCATCTGATTTCTACTCTAACTCTTCAGTAAGTGAGATTTCTCCCCTCAGAGAAATTATTCCAAAACTCAATCCAGAGAATTAAGTTTGGAGATAAAGAGGGTGTAAAGTGCTGGAGGTGGGTGGGCTGAGGTGCGAGTTAAAGCTTCCTTGAGGGGCGTAAGAACTCTTCCCAGAAACGGGTTCCCGCCACGTTGGCTGACCTGGTTTGTAAGGGGGGAGTTTGCCTCACGATGTCCCAACACCGTTGCAATTAGCAAATAGCTTCTGACAAACAAGCGTCACCCACGTTAGCCACAATAAATCAGGACAAAAATAACCCCAAAAACCAATCTGGCTTTTTTTCTTTCCCTCCCCTCGCCTGAAATATGTTGGGGATGGTTTCTGTGGTGGTTGGCCCGGGGGCTGGTACCAGGTCTCTGCTTTTGGAATGGGAGTGAGGTCCCCCAAAACCTGCCCTGTCAATCATCAGCATACCTGGGTTTGAGACTGTTCTGGTATCTCCTGCTTGATGACGCGCTTAAGGTGTCTGGTATTTTGAAAATTCAGGAATTGGGGCAGTGAAATGCTTATGCGGAACTGAGTTGCTGATAAAACTTCGGGTGGGCAGACTCGGGGTCTTTCTCCCGGGATTTTGGGAAGATGAAACAGTTGTCCCTGCCCTTTTCATGAATGTTTTGGGTTATTTTCCTCGCTCATCTCTGGTTTTGTTAGCTGGGCGTGGTTTGTGTTACTTGCTGGGAAATAGAGAATTTTCTAAAACAACCTGCAAAAAAACCTTGGGAGTCCTTTGTCTGAAAGAAACAGCTTCTGCACCCCCCCAGGTCCTGCACAGCCCCCCCGGTTTGGGCGACATGCCCGAGCTGGGGCCTGGAGGGGGGGCCACAGTGGGTGCTTCTTGTTTATTCCTGGTTGGAAATCTCAGGTGAAAAAATCTCGGGAGCAAGTGGGAACGGGGGGAAGAGGGGCCCGTTGGGTTTTGTCCGTGTCTTTAGAAATAACGCCCCATCTGTGGGTGGAGCGAAACCCTGCGTGGGCACGGAGCTCTCTGCGGCACCCACGGGTGGGGGGGCACAAGCTGCGAGCCTGGGGGGGCCGCTGTGGCTGTGTTGGGGGGGGGAAGAGCCGTGCCTGGGCCTTGCTGCAGGGCCTGGAGGAGCTGAAGTGGGTTTGAGGAGTGGGAGATGCTCTTTGTGCTCTGTCCCCGAGTGTGAAATATTTCTGCGGCCCCCCCTGGAGCGTTCTGGCCCGCCGTGCTCTGCAGATTGTTTTCCCAGTTATTTGGGGGATTTAAGGCCTCTCCAGGGCCTGGGGGGAGCGGCGGGGGGGCTCTTGCAGGTGGTGGCTGGTCCCTACACGCTCCTTGACGGGGCAGGGCTGCAGCTCTTCGGGATGTGACTCATCCCCGGGGCTCATCCTGCTCCTCCCCGCTGCTCTGACGGTGCCTCGGCTGCGGCTCTGCCCTCACCGGGACCCTCACCACCCCTGCTGGGACCCCCGCTGCCATCACCACCATCACCAGGGTCCTTGCTGCCATTACCAGGACCCTCGCCACCCTTCCTGGGACCCTCTCTGCCATCACCAGGACCCTCACTGTTGTCACCAGGACACTCGCCACCCCTGCTGCTATCCCCACCATTGCCAGGACCCTCGCTGCCATCACCAGGACCCTCACCACCCCTCCTGGGACCCTCGCTGCTATCCCCACCATTGCCAGGACCCTCACTGCTGTCACCAGGACTCTCGCTGCCATCACCAGGACCCTCACCAACCCTCCTGGGACCCCCGCTGCCATCCCCACCATTGCCAGGACCCTTGGAGCCAAAGGTGCTCTGGTGAGTCCCACACCCCTCTGTGCGGGGAGGGTGCTCAGGGCAGACGGGGCGGTGGGAGGGGAGATGGAGGAGCCTTTGCAGAGCCCCCTCACCAGCCCCCCCCCAGCCTGGCTCTGACCCTCAGCTCCCCAGAACAGCAGGGAGCCCCTCGCAGCCTGGCACCAGTGCGGGGGGCAGCCGAGTTTCGGGGCTGTGCCCAGCGGGGCAGGGCCAGGACAAAGGTTTCTTTCACTCTCGGGTGTTGGCACCGAGCCGGGCGGAGGTGTGAGGTGAAGGAGGGGTGGGGGGGGAGAGGGTGAGGCCTGTCTCTT